CTGTGTCTCTCCCTTCCTCTGACCCTCCTGCCTCCTTCTCATAAGGATCCTTGTGGTGCTGTTGGGTCCAAGATAATCCAGAATAATCCTCCCATCTCAAGATTCTTAACTTAATTGCATCAGCAAGGTCCCTTTTGCCTGGTAAGGTAACACATCCACAGTTTCTGGAAATTAGGATGTGGGCTTCTTTGGATGGGAGCACATTATTCTACGGAGTGCAATCTCCTAGGCAAGTGGCTGTGTCTTGTTTGTTCCGTGTCTTCCAGAGACAGCAGCCGTTAAAAAATACTTTTGAGTGAGTGAACGAGTGAATGAGTGAGTGAGTGAGTGAATAAGTGAGTGAATAAATGAGTAAATGAGTGAGTGACTGAGTGAGTGAGCGAGTGAATGAGTGACTGAGTGAGTGAATGAGTGAGTGAATGAGTGAATGGGTGAATGAATGAATGAGTGAGTGAGTGAATCAGTGAGTAAGTGAGTGAATAAATGAGTGAATGAGTGAGTGACTGAGTGAGTGAGTGAGTGAGCGAGTGAATGAGTGACTGAGTGAGTGAGTGAATGAGTGAGTGAATGAGTAAGTGAATGAGTGAGTGAACGAGTGAAGGGGTGAATGAATGAATGAGTGAGTGAGTGAATCAGTAAGTGAGTGAGTGAATAAATGAGTGAATGAGTGAGTGAATAAGTGAGTGAATGAGTGAGTGAATGAGAAAGTGAATGAGTGAGTGAGTGAATCAGTAAGTGAGTGAGTGAATAAATGAGTGAATGAGTGAGTGAATAAGTGAGTGAATGACAAAGTGAATGAGTGAGTGAGTGAGTGAGTGAATAGCTCCCCAGAGAGGGGAGGGTAAGAGCCAGACGTGGGAAGCTGGAGGACTGTGGTTAAGTAGAAGACCGGAGTGTGACCCAAGCTGCCCCACCTGCCACCTCTGCCCATTCAGTTTTGCCAACACGCAGGGCCTGCAGCTGCAGGTGACTGGCTCCTTTCTCACAGGGCATGGGGGGCAGGGGCTGAAGCCTGTGGAGTTTCCCTCTGAGCTCAGGGAGACTTTGGGCAGCCTCTGCTCAGCCTGGAGAGGCTCTGGGCACAGAACCCCAGGCAGGGCAGAGGATGACCTGAAGACCAAGTGAAGACACATCGTGGCAACAGTGGACAGGGAATACTATCCGCACACCACTTTGACCCGGGCTGACTCCCTGAACCCAAAATGTCCTATTTCCTTGATGTTTGGACCAAAAGTAGAATCTGCATCTTACCTACTCAAAGGGACAAACGCTCAGTAGCTGTCTTGGGCCTCAGGGGTCTGAGTGGTCTTCCCAGCCCGGGCAGAAGGAGCTGTCTCCCACGCTTAGCTTGGTAGGCTGGAAGGAGCTGGCTTTGGGGCCATGCGGACTGAGCTTGTGGCCTTTAGGAAGCACATCTAAGCCTTTAGCCTCAGCTTTTTTCAGTTGTAGAAGAGAAATAATAATAGCTCTCTTTGCAAGGTTTTGTGGGAATTAGAGAGAATACAATGTAAACAGTGAACCTAAACCAATTAAGTCCTAGTAACTGGTAGCAAAGGTTGGATTCTAGGCCCCCATTCCCACATCTACTGGCTGTATAAGCTTAGGCAGTGGTTTTGCTTCTGGGCCTTGGTTTCCTTACCTAGAAAATGGGTAGAGCAGCGGAAGTTTGCCGTGAGAATGAGAGGAGCCTTGAATGAGAAGTGTGGGTGGTTCATTAGTCCTGTGGCTATTTCCAAGCCCCAAGGGGAAGTAGATGCTTTTCCCTGGGTGCAGGTGCTAGAACTGACAGACTCCTAGAGACCAAGTTCCTGCACAATGACAGAGCAGGACCGTCCTGGCTGCAGAGCCTCCCTGCCCTGCACTTCAAGTGGCCACTGTGAAGCCAACAGCTGTCCCCTCCAAGTGGCATTCTTGGGGCACAAAGGGCGGTGGAGAGAGCAGGGCACACTGGCTCATTGTCCCTGGGACTGAGCAGCAGTGGGTGAGGGGCACCCCTTCTGACCTCCAGCCCCTCCCAACCCCGTGGCTATTTGGCTGCCAGGCCTTCACTGCCGGATCTTACAGTATCCCCCAGCAGCACCTGAACCATCACGGGACCCCCTTACCCCATGGCATCTTTTACCAGGGGCCCTTAGGGATAATGCATTTTAAGAAGGGATAGGTCCAAGTGTGGTGGCTCACGCCTTTAATCCCAGCACTTTGGGAGGCCGAGGTGGGCAGATCACTTGAGGTCAGGAGTTCGAGACCAGCCTGGCCAACATGGTGAAACTCTGTCTCTACTAAAAATAAAAAAAGTAGCCGGGCATGGTGGCAATCGCCTGTAATCCCAGCTACTTGGGAGGCTGAAGCAGGAGAATCACTTGAACGCGGGAGGCAGAGGTTGCAGTGAGCCAAGATTTCGCCACTGTACTCCAACCTGCGCAACAGAGCGAGACTCTGTCTCAAAAATAAAACAACAACAACAAAAAACCACCCCTGTGTCAGGCACCCACGTGTACTTTCACTGATCCTTAGTCCTCCGGGGACATAGTGTGCATTGATCCCATTTTACTGATGCAGAATCTGGGGTTTAGAGAGGCGATTAAATGCCTGACCCAGGAAATAGACTGGTAACTGACAAAGGCTGGATATGAACCCTGGCCTGCCTGACGCCCCTGTCTGCACTGTCGCCATAAAGGCAGGGCGCTCAGTGGAGAGGAAGGCAGGTATTCCAGATAAAAGAAAGGTAGGCATGGCCATGATCTGCCCAGCTAAGCACTGGCTGCCATTGATCCCAGGCCAGGGGCACGGGCATGATGACCTTGCCAGGCCCTGCAGCCAGAGAATTCCAAAGCTCCCCCCACCTCCACCCCCGCTTTTCAGAGCAGAGCATTAATAAAGGGGAAGGAGCTGGATGATGACAATTCAGGAAATTTGCAGCTGGAGCTAAATGACAGCCTTATAATGATGGTGATTAAAAATTCACGCTTCTGTTTTTACAGCGATTTGAGTGTCCACTTAGCACCATGAATCAATTAATAAACAAAAACACAAGGGCTAGGGATAAGCTCCAGGGCACAGAAGAGGGGGTTGTGAGGTTTCAGAGGGGACATCCCAGGGCTGGGGCACTGCTTCTTGTTGTTGTACAGTGGGGACACCAGTTCACTTCAAGAGCCATGAGGTGGGGCAGCTCCCCCCGGCCTCAGCGAAGCTTAACAATCAGTCAGCTATGCCGGGCGCGGTGGCTGCAAAGCCTGTAATCCCAGCACTTTTGGGAGGGCCGATGACGAGGCGGATTCACAGGTCAGGAAGATCGGGCGACCATCTGGCTACACGGTGAAACCCCGTCTCTACTAAATATCAAAAAAAACTCGCCGGTGATGGTGGCGGGCGCCTGTATCCAGCTACTTCGGGAGGCTGAGGCAGGGAGAATGGCGTAACACGGGAGGCGAGAGCTTGCAGTGAGCTGGATATCCGGCCACTGCACTCAGCCTGGGCGACAGGCAGACTCCGTCTCAAAAAAAAAAAAAAAAAATCAGTACAGCTTCTCTGGGTGGTCGGTGGTTTGCTCTCTGCTAAAGGGTGTGGGAGGTTGGCAGGCACAGTGGCATGCCTGTAATACCAGATTTGGAGGCCGAGGCAGGTGGTATCACCTGAGTCGGGGTTCGGACCAGCCTGTGCCAACATGGGGGGAGAAATCCCCATTTCTCCAAAATTCCAATTTAGCCGGGTGGTGTGATCTTCGCACTCACCTTCAACCTCTACCTCCGGGTTCTCAGCATTCTCCTGGCTCAGCTTCCAAAGTAGCTGGGATTACAGTGTTGTGCCGACATGCCTGGCTAATTTTGTATTTTAATGAGACCAGTTTTTCTCATGTTGATCACGTGTCACGACCACAACTCGATGATCGCCCCTTGCTCCCAAAGTGCTGATTACAGCATGGCCACTGGCCCAGTCAAGTTTTGTATTTGTTAATAGAAGCAGGGTTATCACGATGTTGCCAGGGCTGGTATTAACTCTGGACTCAAGCTGATACCCACCTTGGCCTTTCCGAAGTTCTGGATTAACAGACCATGCGTGAGCCACAAGGCCGGCTTTTTTTTTTTTTCTTGAAAAAAAGGTCTTGCTGTCACCCAGGCTTGGAGTGCCAGTGTGCATCATGCTCACTGCAGCCTCAACTCCCTGACTCAGTAATCTCCGCCTCAGTCCCAGTAACTGGAACTACAGGCATGCCCACCATGCCCACTTAACTAATTTTTTAATTTTATATAGATATGGGAGTCCTGCTTTGTTGGCATAGCTGGTCTTGCGCTCTGGGCTCAAGCAGTCCTCCCACCTTGGCCTCTGAAAATGCTGGGATTACAGGTGTGAGCCACTGCACCTGGCCTGGACCTAGACTTTTTGGGTAGCCAGTTCGATTTACTGCAGAAGGTATTTTGAATAAGCAAAAACTATGAATGCAAGCCCCGTTGTTTGTGTGCCAAACTAATGATGACCCACTAGGAGAAGGGATTTCATCCATGTGACACCCACCACACACCTCTGCTGGCCAGGCACCTAGAGGTGGGATGGGAAGCCCTGGTGGAGGAGGAGAGAAGCTGGGGTGATGGAGGGAGGAGTCTTAGCCAAGAGTCTCCTTCATGTTCATCCCTCATCAATTAACTCTTGCAGGCCACCAGAGTAGCAGAAAGATCTTTGGGCTGTATCCCCAGGGCTCTCATGATTTTAAAAATCATCCCCAGGCTGGGCGCAGTGGCTCATTCCTGTAATCCCAGCACTTTGGGAGGATGAGGCAGGCAGATCACCTGAGGTCAGGAGTTCGAGACCAGCCTGGCCAATATGGCGAAACCCTGTCTCTACTAAAAGTACAAAAATTAGCTGGGTGTGGTGGTGTGGACCTATAATCTCAGCTACTCGGGAGGCTGAGGCAGGAGAATTGCTTGAACCTGGGAGGCAGAGGTTGCAGTGAGCCAGGATCACGCCATTGCACTCCAGCCTGGGCAATAGAACAAGACTCTGCCTCAAAAAAAAAAAAAAAAAAAAAGAAAGAAAAAAATGCATCCTCTAAGCAGCCCCCGTCCAGTCTTCCCCTGACCATCCCTCAGAGAGCCATGTACAGTTCTCAGAGCCCTGCGGTGGCTCTGCTACCTTCACGATCACTCCCCCAAAGAGCTGGCCCCAGCAGGCCTCCCAGAGTTGGGTCCCTTCTCAGCTCTTCAGCCTCATTGCCCCCATTCCCCCTCTTTACCCCCACTTCTGCCAAACCAAACCCTTGAGCGCTTCCTCAGTCTGCACGTTGCTCCATGCCCCAACCTTCATATTGCTGGCCTTCTTCCAGAACATGCTCTCCCCATCATCATGACTCTCCGTTAAGAGTGCTCCCTGCCACCCCTTCCTGCCCTGCTGGGTCCCTTGTGCCTCCATCTCATTATTGTGTGAATGGCTAATGTTCCCTCCTTGACGGGGTCATCTCTGAGGGTAGGGATGTGACCCTAGTGCATAGATGCTCAGGGATGTTTAGGGAAGAAAATCATCAAGAGACCCAGATTTGAACCGCATCTGTATCACCTCCCAAACCACGTGCCCTTGGCCTCCCTGGGCTTTGATGCCCTCATCAGTCCTGCGTGCGCTGCCAGGCTACTGTGAGCCTCTAATGAGCCTGTGTTGACAGATGAATGCATTCTTGGGAGGACTAATCAACACACACAACTAAGGCCAAGAGAACCAGGGTTTCTACCCCAGGGACCCCCTCAGCCCCACCCTCTAGCAGCCCTGGAGCTGGGTCCCTCTGCCGTCCCAGGATGCAGTCAGAGGCTTGAGCTTCTGGAAACTCTTGGATCTTGTCCCTGCTCCTTCCAGTCCTGCCTCGGCTCCAGGCGTCTATCTCTCCAGCTATTTTATTTTCTGATCTGGAGTTCAAAAGAACAGATCTAGGAGTGACAGCCATGGGGAACAACAGCCAGTAGGCTCATTCATGTTGGCCCAGATGAGAGCCTGCAGGCTGCCCACCTCTCCCCGCTGGGTCTGGGCACCCAGAAAGGAGGGCGTTTGGGTTCTGGTTCTACGGGCATCAAAGGCCAATGTGACTGAGAACAGCAGCTCTAGTTAGAGGCAAGGCCAGTTTGGGGCCAAGAGGGGGGGGAGGGGGGAGCCTGGTCTAATTAGAGCCCTAACATGCTCGTTTGAAAGCATTTTCAGATGTCCCCAGCCCTGCAGGCAGGGGTGGTGTAATAATAATAAAACAACATTTGCATAGAGATTTCATTTATAAAGCACTTTCTCAGGGGTGGGGTGGCACTGGGTGGCCCTGTGGAATCCTGGCTGGGAGGCCGCCCTGGCCTTGGGTCGGTTCCGCCCTCCAGCCAAGCTGGCGATTGTGTGCGAGGTAAACAAAGCGCCATTCATCCAACTGTTTCCGATTCCTCTGCTCTTCATTCCTTTTCCCCGTCTCCCGTGAAGAGCTCACTCTGGGCTTGTCACTCAGGCCAGAAAACGGGGTCAGGGGTCCCAGAGGGAGACCCCTTCCCTGATGGGAAGAAGCAGGGAGGTGGGACGGCTCCCTCCCTCTGCATATCCCCACCACCCCCAGCTCTGGCAGAATAACAGCCTGGCTGCGGTTGGTTTGTGCAACGCTTTGCTAACCTGTGGCGGTGTCTTCATGGACAAAGTATGAGCCCAGGTTTGGTAATGTCTGCGTGCATGCCACGTTTGTGTTTGGTAACATGCAGAGATAAGCAGTTTGTGGGGCTCTGCGAATCCCTCCCTACCCGAGTGGGCCTTGTGTACACAGTGTGGGGGCGAGGGGCCCTGGGGTGTCTGCCCCTGCACTGGGTTGGCGGGGTAAGGCAGCTGGGCCCCACTCTTATACAGCCCAGGCTGGAGAGTCGCCTGCAGTCACCTGGCCTCTGGCACCCTGGGGTGAGGCATTGGGAGCTGGCCCCTTAAGGGCCTCTGATGAGCTATATCGGGCCCACCTGCCTGGGTTCCGGCAGCTTCCGCAGCCCCAGCCGGAGATGGAAGATGCAAGAGGTCATTGCGGGGCTGGAGCGGTTCACCTTTGCCTTCGAGGAGGATGTCGAGATGCAGAAGGGCACTGGGCTCCTGCCTTTCCCGGGCATGGACAGTGAGTGAGGATGGGGCCACGATCCCTCCCCTACCTCCCCCCCTTTCTTTTTTTTGACGTGGAGTCTCGCTTTGTTGCCCAGGCTGGAATGCAGTGGCGCCATCTTGGCTCACTGCAAGCTCCGCCTCCAGGTTCACGCCATTCTCCTGCCTCAGCCTCCCGAGTAGCTGGGACTACAGGCGCCCGCCACACGCCTGGCTAGTTTTTGTATTTTTACCACAGACGGGGTTTCACCGTGTTAGCCAGGGTGGTCTCTATCTCCTGGCCTCGTGATCCGCCCGCCTTGGCCTCCCAAAGTGCTGCGATTACAGGCGTGAGCCACCGCACCTGGCCTCCCTCCCCCTACCTTCTCTACAGGTCTCTCTGCTCAACTCCCTGATGCAACGGGCCCCTTCTCTGTCTCTCTCTTCTGTGGCTTCGGGGCAACCCATTTTCCACACTGAGAGAGGCACAGAGAGACGATGAATTGAGAGAAGCCACACTGGCCTCCCGAGCTCCTGGGCCAGCCTTGAGCACCTCGAGCTCCTCTGTTTCAGAGTGGGGGGGTTAAGGGTTGAGGTCTGCTGGCTGGCTCTGAAGGTTAACCTCTACAGGGCCCAGATTTGAGGGCCCACAGGCCAGAGCCTGGGGGAAGTCTAGGTGGGACATGCCGATAGGAGGTGGAGGCTCCTGGGACAGCTGCAGCCTCTGGGGGAAGCTACCTTCTCCGTTCCGTTTTCTTCTTCCAGAGTCGGCCTCAGCTGTGTGCAACTTCTTCGCTAAAGGGCTCTGTGAGAAAGGTGAGTTACTGGGCAGGCCTGGGCCCCGAACTGGGTGAATGTAGGGTCTGTCTGAGCTACACCCAGCAGGGGCTCTGCCTGGCCTGGGACAGGGTGTCAAATTTGCACCTGGGAAGGGAAAATTGGGATGGAGCCGAATTTTATTTTTATTTTATTTATTTTTAGATGGAGTCTTGCTCTGTCGCCCAGGCTGGAGTGCAGTGGTGTGATCTCGACTCACTGCAACCTCCGCCTCCCAGGTTCAAGTGATTCTCCTGCCTCAGCCTCCTGAGTAGCTGGAACTACAGGCGCCCACCACCAAGCCCGGCTAATTTTTGTATTTTTAGTAGAGATGGGGTTTTGCCATGTTGGCCGGACTGGTCTCAAACTCCTGACCTCAGGTGATCCACCTGCCTGGGCCTCCCAAAGTGCTGGGATTACAGGCATGAGCCACCATGCCCGGCCATGGAGCAGAATTTTAGACTTACAGGTAGACAAAGGGTAAGTGGGTGGATCCACCGAGCAGCCTGCTGCTCCCCTAAGATTTCCCCACCTCAGCAGCAGTCTTTGTAGTTTGCAGTTCGCATCAGGGTAATCAGGCTGCCTGGTAAGGGGTTTTTCTTTCTTTCTGCCTTGCTGGGATGGGCGTGTGTCTGAGCTTTGGCCTGTGCATTCCCAGGAGGCTCCAGCTTCTTGATGTTTTTCTTGTTTTCTTCCTAGCTAGACGGGAGGCCTCCTTCTTCCCCAGTCCCATGTCCTGACTCAGTTTGGAAACTGGTCAGTTGTCTCATCCATTCCCTGTGCTCTGAGGTAGCACTAGCCACCGTCTTTTAAATGCTGTCAAAAAGCATCCTCCACTTCTCTCCTGCCCTGACTTTGGGTCACTGCCCTCTTCCTAGGCCCCTCTCCCCAAATGCAGCCATTCTGGGAAGGCCTGACTCAAATACAAGAGTTTTCAACTTTTCTTCTGGCTCTTGGCTCACGTAGAGGCTCTTCCCACAGGAATACACAACTGCCCAAAATAAAAAACACACACACACACAAACTGGCTTCCAATTTTAGGGTTTCCCAGTCTTGCTTGCCTATACATTTGGGTTAAGAAATCGCCCTGGTGTGAGAGTTTAGGACATGCTTTCTGATCCAGATGACTCTGTCCCTGGAAGCTGGGGGGCTGGAGGGGACCGGGCAAGGAGGACCTGGGACCATGGTCGCCCACCTGCCTTGTTTGTCTCGGAGCCAGCCCTGGACCATGCAGGGAGAAGGGAAATGAGATCACTGGTCACCCAAGGACTTGTGCACCCAGGACCCTGCAGGCTCAAATGTGGGCTGAGTGGCGTCTCCTCAGCTCAGCCCATCCAGTCCCTAGATCAGCGGTTCCTAGCAATACCCTTTTGCAAAGAAAGAAAGCTATTGTGGTGGAAGGTCAGAACCAAGCAAGTCAATGGCCAGCAGTGGAGGGTAGGGGTTATTTAAAAAGAGCACCTTGGCCAGGAGAGTTGGCTCACACTTGTAATCCCAGCACTTTGAGAGGCAAAGGCTGGAGGATCGCTCAAGACCAGCCTGGGCAACATAGCGAGACCCCATCTCTACAAAACATAAAAAAAATTTTTTTAAAAAAAGGAAAAATGGAAATAACACCTCCCCTACACCCCAAATTATGTCAGAGAACTGGCCAGGCATGAGGCTGGACCTGCTTAGAAACTCAGGAACTGCTAGCCTGGGACATGGCAAAGCCCCGTCTCTACAAAAAATAAAAAAAATTAGCTCAGTGTGGTGGTGCATGCCTGTAGTTCCAGCTACTTGGGAGGCTGAGATGGGAGAACTGCCTGAGTCTAGGAGTTTGAGGCTACAGTGAGCCATGACTGTGCCATTGCATTCCAGCCTGGGCAACAGAGTAAGATCCTGTCTCAAAATGAATGAATGAATGAATGAATGAATGAATGAATGAATGAATGAATATAAAGAGAAAGAAACTTAGGAACTGGGTGTCCTTCCTGCTAATAGCAATGCAGACTTGAGTGATGATGATAAAACAGTTAACTGTAACATTTCCATGGAATATTACTTATAAATCATTACAAAGTTGGCTCTTCTGTCACCCTGTTAGGTCTCTGGAATCGGGAAGCATAACATTTGGTGTTTTTGAAGATGGGAATTCAACGTGCCCTAACTGAGCACTTACTATGTGCCAGGGGCTGGGCTGGGTGTGGGGATTCCGGGCTGGAAAGCCTGGCCCTGCTCCCTGGCAGGATGAGAGGGGCTGTTAAGCACTGTGGGAATGAAAAGGAGGCAGCTGTTCTGAGCCCAGGTGCTTCCCTGGAGAAGGGCATGACACGCCAGTTAGACGGGAAGGATGGGCAAAGGTGTGGTAGCGGAAACAGCTGTGCATTAAGAAGAGCTTGCCCTGGCCAGGCACAGTGGCTCATGCCTATAATCCCAGCACTTTGGGAGGCTGAGGCAGATGGATCACCTGAGATCAGGAGTTTGAGACCAGCCTGGCCAACACGGTGAAACCCTGTCTCTACTAAAAATTAAAAAAAAATAACCAGGTGTGGTGGTGGGCACCTGTAATCCTAGCTACTTGGGAGGCTGAGGCAGGAGGATCACTTGAACCCGGGAGGTGGAGATTGCAGTGAGCTGAGACCACGCCATTGTACTCTAGCGTGGGCAACAGAGCGAGACTCTGTCTCAAAAAGAAGAGCTTGCCCTTCATGCTGCCTCGGCCCCCAGTTCTTGCCCCTACAGGGTCCAGGTGAAGGGATAAGGGGAGAGTCGCTGGGGACTGAGTCGGGTACCCTCCTGGGGAATCCCCGGGAGGGCTGAGCCGGGCCCAGGCTGTGGATGAGAGGCCCCCAGCCAGGTGCTCTGGCATCTCCAGGGAAACTCTGCCCCTTCCGACATGACCGAGGGGAGAAGATGGTGGTGTGTAAGCACTGGCTCCGGGGGCTGTGCAAGAAGGGTGACCACTGCAAGTTCCTGCACCAGTACGACATCACCAGGATGCCCGAGTGCTACTTCTACTCCAAGTTTGGTAAGGCCTCTTCCTGGCTCGGCGCCTCACCGTGGAGGGTGGCAGTGTGGGCTGTGAAATGGGAAGAAGGTTTCTAGAGGAGGGGGCCACGCAGAGGAGGCTGAACATGTCCCTGGAGGCCGGAGAGACCTGTCTGAGCCTCGGGTGCCTGTTCTCCAAACCCCCAGACAAGCAGAAGCACACCCTGACGTCCCTGCCCTTTACTGCCCCCTGGATCAAGGTGCTTACCAGTTACCCCCAAAAGGGAAGAGGGCATTGTTGCTCTCCCCAGTCCTGGTTCATCACACACCCAGCCTGGCTATTTGGAAATGTCTCAGTGAGCCATCTCTCAGGCCCCGGCTAGAACTTCCTGAACATCAGGCCTTCAGAGCCACATTCATGATGCCTGCTGTACCCTCAAAGCCCCTGTGCCACTGTCTGCTCTTCCAACGGTCCTGCTATTTTAACTCTTACTTTAGAAGAAACTTTGCATTGTTTCCATGAATGGAGAACTAGCATCACTTGTTGGAAATCCTAGGTAACTGTGAACATAAATCCATGAGGTTCAGAAGTCTAGCACCTAAAATCATCTTGTGTGGTCAAGCCTCAACCAGCATCTTGCCTCCCTCTGGCTTCAAGCCATCCTTTGTCCTTTTATTTTATATATATATATATATATATTTTTTTTTTTTTTTTTTTTGAGACAGGGTCTCACTCTGTCCCCCAGGCTACAGTGCAGTGGCGTGATCTTGGCTCACTGCAAACTCCACCTCCCAGGTTCAAGCGATTCTCCTGCCTCAGCCTCCTGAGTAGCTGGGACTACAGGTGCCCACCACCAGGCCCGGCTAATTTTTGTATTTTTAGTAGAGTAGAGACTGGGTTTTGCCATGTTGACCAGGCTGGTCTTGAACTCCTGACCTCAGGTGATTCACCTGCCTCGGCCTCCCAAAGTGCTGGGATTATCCGCGTGAGCCACCGCACCTGGCCTCCTTTGACCTTTTAATCAAGGGACTGTTTATGGGGCAGCTGCAGCCACTTTCCCACTTATTTAAGAAAGGAATTTGTGAATGTGCTTCAGGTGTCACCCTTCACAATACAGTTCTACGGCTGAGAGCTTTTCGGAGCTGGAAGGAGCCTTACGGATGATCTAGTCCAGTGGTTTTCGAACTGTATTCCATAAAGAGTGGCCTGCAAGGAGAGAGCTGGCAGAATCCCCTAGATGCCCCCCGACTCAGGAGGCTTGGCTTCCAAATGTGGCTGGAGCCAGCTTCAGGGCCTCCCAAGTGGCTGCTCCTCGTTAGTGCCAATGGGAGGGTCCTGGGTACCTGAGAAGGAGGCAAAGCATCACCTAGGCCAGTCAGAGCCCCTCCCAGGCTAATATTCCATTTCCTGCCTGCTTCTGGGAGGCGAAGGCATGGCAGTTCCTGAGAGCTGCCCCCAGGTCTCCCCTGAAAGGACAATGTTTATCCAAGCTCCCCTTGGTCACTGCCTAACATTCTGTGACTTTAGTAATAAAATGCCACCTACTTAGTTATTCCTTCAATAGCTCTGATCAGGTGCTCCTGGGCATGGATATAGGAACAGGACCAGGTCCCCCTCGGCCCCCAGATAACTCCAATTAGTAGGGGACAGACTTGTAAGCCCATGATTACAAGATATAATCTACGGTTCTTACAGTAAATGAATGCATATGGCTTTCGAATATCAAAGTGATGATCACTGTAATTGGTGTTGTTGGGGAGGTGTGGGAGTGGGAGAGAGTCACTGGAAGCGCCTGCTGTCTGAGGTCTTCAGCCCAGTACCCCCCCACCGTCTCTGAAAGGCGGACTGAAGGCTGAGGTGCTGCTGCCACCTGCTGGCCAGGCCAGGAATGCGGCGACGTGCGCCCAGCAGAACGGCAACCAGGGTAGATGACTTCTTGTTATCTCCATCCATCAAATGCCGGCTAGCATCACCTAGTGGGTGATGTCACTTTGATTCATTAGAAAGCTCAAGTGCAGAGTCAGCATTCTGCCCAGTGCTGCACACTGACAATGAGCAAATGAACCCTTCATGAATGTGAGGAAGCTGAATGAAATGGATGTGGCCTTTTCCCGTCTCTGAGCCCTGGCATTCTCTGTGAAATGAGGGGGCTGGGAAAGAATGGTGGTTTTAAACTCTTAGGAATTGGGGGTACTCTCCTTTTTTTTTTCTTTTCTCTGAGACAGAGAAAATTAAGAGCCCTCTTAATTTCTCTTAGGAAGAGAGCTCTGAAGGAAGCATGGGGGAAGATTCATCCCACTTTCGCTTCATTCAAGTTGAGAACTCATGAATCTTTCCAACTTCATCCTCCTTATCTACAACTCAGTGCTTTTCAGAGCTGAAGGAGCGTCATTGCATATATTCTACTGATTTTCAAATTGCTCCAAGAAGATCTATTTTATACTCTAGGCCTCTACAGAGCAAGGTTTTGCCTAAAGGAAAGTACTCCTAGGCCAGGAACAGTGGCTCATGCCTGTAATCCTAGCACTTTGGGAGGCCGAGGTGGTGATCCTGAGGTCACCTGACGTCAGGAGTTTGAGACCAGACTGGCCAACATGGTAAAACCCCGTCTCTACTAAAAATATAAAAATTAGCCAGGTGTGGTGGTGCACACCTGTATTCCCAGCTATTCGAGAGGCTGAGTTGGGAGAATCGCTTGAACCCGGGAGGCAGAGGTTGCAGTGAGCCAAGATCGCACCACTGTACTCCAGCCTGGGCAACAGAGTAAAACCCTATCTTAAAATAATAAAATAATAATAGTAATAATAATAATAGCACCTGGGTAGCCGGGCCCACTGAGCTGGCTCATTGTAGGAAATAAACTAAACCGGAGACTTGGTCTAATCCATAGAGATGATGACGCAGGCTTAGTATAACTGCAGGTATCCACTCTGCAGAGTGTTTCTTTTCATACCTGTGCCAGCTTGAGCAGGGCTCTGCTTTTCTCTGCATTTCCACCAAGGGGAACAGCCTCCCTAGGCTCTGCAGGCAGCATGGGTTTTATAGTAGAGATGAAGAGGGGGCTTCAGTTACAGTGACATAGAACTATCTCCACTTAATGTCGCAGGTCTTCTTGGCTCTCCTTGTTCCTGCTAGCCTCCAACTGCCTTCAGTTCCAATGCCTCCTTTTCCATTTGGGGTCCTGCCCCCACTCTTACTCTTCCAGAGGCATATATTCCGACCATGCCCTGCTTAACAAATAAGACTTGGATGCACCCTCTTTAGACTGCAGAAGGGATTAGACATACTCGCCGTCTTCAAAAAGCTGGTGACTCCCAGAATAAAGGCCAGTGTCTTCTGTGTGTGTGAGGGGCAAGGTCAATCTGGTTTGGGGACACAGAAGTGACCACAAAGAGAAACTGCTTCTACAAAGAGTGCTGGGATTTTCAGGTGACTGCAGCAACAAGGAGTGTCCCTTCCTCCATGTGAAGCCAGCTTTCAAGTCCCAGGACTGTCCTTGGTATGACCAAGGTTTCTGCAAGGACGGTGAGGCCTTGGAAGCCAGGGAGCCCTAGGGGTTGTGGGGATCAGGGTGTGGGGGCTCTCAGCAGGGGAGGGGCCGTTGTCCTGATGAGTCTGTGCCTTGCTGGAACCCCAACAGAAGGCCTTTCTGTAGTTCTCCAGCTCTGCCGTGACACACAAAACACAGCCTGGTGTGGGGCCATAACAGGCTTCTTGGGGCAGACTGACTTGGGTTCAAATCCTACCTTCAGCATGTATCAGCTGCATGCCCTTCTCCAAGTTACTGAACCACAGGAAGCTCTTGACACAGGGTGAGGCCCACAGGAAACGCTTAGTTCATGTGCGCTCTCTTCTGCATTCCACTTACCCACCTGGGGGATCCTGAGTGTTGCTTAAGCATGTCCTACCTTTCCCATTGCTGTCAGTCAAATTTAAGAGGCAGCTTCCCCCAGCAGGGTTCCCATGCCCTAAGCAACAGGGTTTCTCCCTCTCCTGTGTCTTCAGATAGGTTTTTCTTACTGACTTCTTAGTGCTATTGGTTTTAGGGATCTGGGCGGGGGTGAGGGTTGCTGAGAAGATCAGTAGGATTGTGGGTTTAGCTTTTCCTTTTCTTTCACCCAGGCTGGAGTGCAGTGGTGCAATCTTGGCTCATTGCAACCTCTGCCTTCCAGGTTCAAGCAATTCTCCTGCCTCAGCCTCCCAAGTAGCTGGGATTACAGGTGTGCGTCACCACGCCCAGCTGATTTTTGTATTTTTAGTAGAGACAGAGTCTCGCCATGTTGCCCAGGCTGGTCTCAAACTCCTGGGCTGAAGTGATCCACCCACCTTGGCCTCCCAAAGTGCTGGGATTACAGGTGTGAGCCACCCCGCCCAGCCAGGTCAGCTTTTCCTCAGCTATACGTCCCATACCTAAACAAATAACAGGCAACAAAGTATGGTTCATATCCATGCAAGTCCTCCAGGACACAGCATGTCAGTGACACTTCCGACTTGATATCAGGACTTGCCAGCTGACACCTGCTCCAGCACATTCCAAGGTTCCCTTTCCCCACCCCTGTCTCATGGCTAGAAGTGGGTACTTTAGGGTGGTATGGAAAGGACGGGAAGATTTATCCACCCGTATTAAGTGAAGCCCCGATAACCATCTACACCCTTCCCAGGGAACTTTTTCCTGTGTTTTCCCCTCTTGCTGAAACGGATCCTTCTCATCACTTTCTCTTTGCCCAGCAGGTCCTCTGTGTAAATACCGCCATGTCCCCAGAATAATGTGTCTCAACTATTTAGTTGGCTTCTGCCCCGAGGGACCCAAGTGCCGATTTTCTCAGTAAGTACGATCCTTCAGTTACCAACTCCCATCAGAGTGCTGGGCCTGGCCTTCTAGTTCTAGATCTTTCCATACCTTTGCTGGTCCATGGTGGAAAATGAAGCATCTGGCAAGCATCTGCCCCAGTATTTTCCTGGCACCGCTGCCTGACCCTGGCGATCTCAGAACTCGAACCCATCCTCTTAATGTGTACTCATGCTGGGGATGCATGTCGATCTTTTCACAAACTGTTCTAAGAGTAGAGACACTTAACGCCCATTTCTCCCCAGTCCTCCGTAATTCTCCCTCACGCCCTGGCTAAGGGAGGGCACCTTCCCTACAGGGTTCTGAAATATGAACTCTGCAGCAGGCTGGCGCAGAGCATGTTAATGAGCAGAAGATGGGAGGGCAAGAGCTGGGCTGTAATCGTCTCTCTCCACTTTCCTTAGTCCCAAGATGAATCTTTTATTCAACCCGAGTTACACGAAGGTGAGTGCAGGCAGGCACGTGCCATCGTGCCTCATCCCTTTATTCTCACTCCTTTCTGCTCCCCAGGGAAGCTCACCCAGCAGCACTGCATGGCTCCAGGCAAACCCTCACTCTCCTTTGAAAGGCAGTCATCATGCATGCAGGGCGCATATGTGTGGTTGTTCCTCCCAGACTCCTCTCCAACCTCTAGGATCTCTGCTGTGAGTAGGGTAGGACTTCTCTGTTGAGCAGCCCTAGGCTTTCCTTCTGCTAACTGGGTAGCATGCGTGGTTTTTGGAATCAGGGCTGGCCCTGATTGAGAACAGGGCCCAGTCTCTATGGAGAGATACACACTCTCAATAGACACCAAGTGTTGATGAGCGCCTATGTCAGGGGTTGGCAAACTACAGCCTGTGGGCCAAGTGCAGCCTGCTGCCTTTCTTTGTACAGGTGAAGGGCTAAGAATGGTTTGTAAAAAGTGGGAGGAAAATCAAAATATTTTGTGACATGTGAAATTAATTCCAGCACTCATAAAGGGTTTTGTTGGAAGAGGGCCATGGCTGTTCCGGTGCTTACAATGGCAGAGTCCAGTGGCTGCAACAGAAACCCAATGGCCTGCAGAGTATAAAATATGTACTGTTTGGTGTTCTATAGAAAAAGCTTTCTGACCCCTGGTCTAGGTGACTGAATGTCGGACACCTGTTTAAGTATCACAGAGGCCAGACAGCGCCAACACTGGGGCAGCTACTGACAGCTACTGGGGACTCCGAGCACTGGACGCCGGGTGGGTGATGGCCTGGGAGGAAGGCAGTCCCTGCTGGTTCTGAGTGGACATTGAAAGAAGGTGGGAGGCAATCTGTGGGACTGCGGGGAATTTACAAGCCCATTTACAATGAAAGCCTAATTTTCATTGAAAGGTATGCTTTTGGCACTTAAAACTGTAACTGAAGGCATCTTGAACCTTGGTTTCACCCTAAACGCACGGCCAGCACCCCGGCCCTCTGTGAAGTTGTAGTATCTGCACAGAGGGACTATCTGCAGTATGCGTTTCCTCACGACTTCACTTTATCTGCAGCTTGTCAACCGGCCCCGGGATTCAGCACCTCCTATTTCTGCTGTGGAAGCTTGGAAGCTTTCCCCCATCCCCAACAGACTGCCTGCTCTCCTGCCTGGGGATCAGGGATCAAGGGCAGGACCTGTGCCACAGGGTGGGCAAAGGAACCCAAAGGGCTGGGCTAGTGCTGGGCTGAGAGCTGGGAGGGCAAGGAATGATCAGGGAGCTGGAGAATGACTCCTTTTCTGCACCAGATGGGAGAGTGAATTAGGAGAGAATGAGAGGATACTGTAAACCATTCTGTTGGCATCTCCTGTTGGACAAGACTGTTCCTTCAAAAGGACAGTCATTTCCCGCTTTGTTGCCTACTACTCTTCAGTTACTTGTACATAACATCCTTGAGATTCTTTTTCGGCAGGAGGGCAGAGTATGGTTAAGGGAGGGAATGTAGCACCTGGTTCTTTTTTCTGCTATCTTCTGGTTTATCGGGAAGAAAAAAAAATCATGTTTGATCGTACCTTCATTCTGATAGCTTCTAAACTGTCCTGAGCTTTGCAGTCTCCATTCTGCAAGAGAATAGTTTTATCGGGATGACAGGTAAGAGAGGCAGAACCCTTGACTTTCTTGTACAGTTGCTTTTATGTGCCTTGCAATATCTAGAGCCTTGTTCTCTGTGATTGTAATGCTGGGCTTGAATGCCTGAAATAAGCTTCACTAACAAGCAGAATCCATCCAATTCCTCACAAAGGTGGCTAACCATCTCCTATGGTTCCCTAGACATCTTTAGAAATCTGAATTTACAAAAAGTCATGCCATTCACTTTTTCTGTTTTTGTGTCAAAGACCAGGCCATTATGCCAGTAAGTACAGTAAGACTCAACTGGTAGGAGTTATTAAAAACTAACCCATGGTCAGGAGAAGATGCTTAATGGGATTCTGTTTTCCAAGTTCCACAGTGAGCCTGCTGTCATCCTAAGCAGGGTATGAGTGAGGTGCAAAAGTAGCCTGTGGTATGTAGGTTTCTCTCTTTTGATCCTGTAAGTGAACGAGCTACTAAAAATACAACAGGATTGGAGGCAGATTGGCAGGAATGAGTTATCCATAAAATGGGAGCAAAATGTACATAAAAACCAAAAGTTCGAGTCTATGGGAAATCTACGATCATTATACTTTGCTCAGCTCCTACCAACAGTTCTGGGTTGCACGTGGCAATTCCTCTGCATATGGCCTCAGCTGCTGCTACTAACTGGCAATTAACTCAAATGGTTTTCTTTAGCATGACAGCTGCTTCCCTGTATGGCTTATTTAAATCTAAGAATATATTCTGTGCCTTATGTGTGGAGTATTATGGAGTAGATGGTACAAAATAGGCTTATCCTGGGGAGGTAAGGTAGTGACATGTAACATTCAACAGTATTGCTATCTTTTAATGCCATAATGAAAGGCCAATACCAAGGCAACTTAATCCACTGGGACAGGAGAGGTAGCAGCTGTGCTGAGCCTTTTGGAGAAATGGAGAAGTGCAATGTGATGTGTCAGGAAGAACTAGACCCCCACCTTGGTAAAGAGACAGGTGCCTGGCCTGCCTGGAGCTGGAGTCCCCAGTTAGGGCAGTCTAAAAGAATGGAGCCCAGAAGTCAGGTTTTGGGGGGTTGAATGCCAGTTCAAACCAATGGGGCTGCTATGTGATGAACAGCACAGAGTTACGTAGGCAAATCACTCTGCCTCAAGCCCGTTTTCTTTTTGGAAAATGAGCAGGATAGCACCTTTGTCACAGGACTGTTTGAATCTAAAAGGAGAAAACACATGCAAAAAGCCTTGCATGGCACTCGGCACAAAGCAAGCCCCAGATGCTGGCTGGATCTGTGTGTGGATTGTAGTAGGGCCTCTCTTCCTCCGTTCAAGGTTGGAACTTGTATGTAGTATGATGGCACATACTACAGGCTTTAGAACAGCTGCTGTCAATGAGTTCCTACCATCACAGATGTTGCTGGAGTTAACACACATAAGACTTCTAATCTCACTAAATGTCTACAAAGTAGGAATTATCCCCAAATTACAGTACAAAGGAGGCTCCAGTAAACTGGATAACTTACTCAGGGACACACCCACCCATTTCACAGGTGAGGCTCTAGAAGAGGCAGATGATCAGCTCAGGGGAGTATTTTTTATATTTCACAAATATTTTTATTATGAAGAGTGGTGGTAGTAGTATGTAGATGCCCCATAAAGCATAAAAGAGTCTGCTGATAATAAAATGATTTTATTTTTAACAGCTAAAATAAATTTTAATGTGCATTAGAAAAACTACACGTTCCCAAGTAAACTCAGTCTTTCAGATATTATTATTCAGGATTAAACGAGGCCGCCCTGAGGTTAGTCCACTTATACAGACCACGTGTGAGTTACAACCGGGGTGTTCAAGCATGCCCCTGAGTATTTCCAACTTTTAGTAACAGTATCTTCTAATACGTCCTCTCAAGCATGGAGAGTAGCCTGGGTGTCACCATGCCTCTTCTGCAGGATGGATGGGAAGGTGAATATGGATTATGTGTATGGATTCTCATGCTCCATTTGTATGCACCTTGCAGGAAGATTTGGGAATTCAAGCTGCTGCCTGGAAGCAAGATCTAAGCATTGCTTCTTACCTAGTGGGGCTTTCACCAATGCCACAGACTGGGCAGAACACGACTTTTACCCCCTCTCCTTCTGGAGCATGATTTTATTTTATTTACTTTTTTTGGAGACAGAGTCTGGCTCTGTTGCCCAGGTTGGAGTGCAGTGGCATGCTCTTGGCTCAGAAACTTCTGCCTCCTGGGTTTAGGCGATTCTCCTGCCTCAGCCTCCCGAGTAGCTTGGATTACAGGCACCTGCCATCATAGCTGGCCAATTTTTGTATTTTTAGTAGAGACAGGGTTTCATCATGTTGGCCAGGCTGGTCTTGAACTCCTGACCTCAAGTGATCCGCCCGCCTCGGCCTCCCAAAGTGCTGGAATTTACAGGCATGAGCCACCACGCCCAGCCTGGAGCATGATTTTAAGAGATAAAATTTATAAGGCTGTTTAAAATGGTAAATCATGTTAGAGCGTTTTTCCTTGGCTCTGTGAAGAGATGAGTAGTTACTCCATCTCACACCTGAAGCGTGGACTTGTCCGCTATTTGTTCTGAAGAGTCTTGTCTTTCTGGATGAAGCTTTTAATCTGATGACCACATACATGATTGGAACTGGCTGTGCAAATGAACTTATAGCAATTTTACATATATGAGCGAAAAATGTATTCTCACAAGACAAGTTGACATCAGTATTGCACCCTGGAGCTGTGAGGGGTGCTTCCTGATCATGCTGAGTTTGTTTAGATCTAAATCTCAGAAAATAATCAATCAGCTATCGGTTTAACTCAACAATGCTCTTAAACTATTCTGAACATTAAGAAGAGATTCTTAATGTTCTTGATGAAACATCTTCACTTATTTTCCCAACCCAGATGGCAGCAATGAGCAGATAAGGAAGCCTTCCTTCCATTACTCTGTAGACATTTACAAGTAATTCCAGAATGTGGAGACTTTCCAATGGCTTCTTGAAAGTTACCCACACTACTTTATTTGTGGATTCTCAGTACCTAATTCAAAGAAGTCAGCGGGGAGTTTTTTTTTGTTTCCTACTATATGTGAGTTACAATTCTTAGTACTTAACAATGTGAACCAAAAAAGCCGTCTTCTTATTAATACAGGATCTCACCTTTGCCTTAAACTTGGCAATACAAGGCAGATCTCCTTTTAGGACTGATGGATCATTAAATAGTTCTATTCTCTTTAAGGAACTTATTTTCAGGGATGTAAAATATTTACTGTGACTAAGTTAAACTTTTTCATTATGTTTTAGCATTCTGATTATGACAAGTGATACTACTTCATTTATAGCAGTGATACAAATGTTTCTGATAACCTTGAGGGGTGACAAGCTATCCCTTTATGCTACCACTACACTTAGGTGTTACGGGGCAATTCAGTGGGCAACACAGGGCATGAAGGCACTAGAGACAAGTCACAACAGGCTTCTCCTACTTAAATGTGCTTCCTAATCCAAACACGTTTTAGAGCGGCAATCTCCAGTCATCTTCGCCACACCAACACACGGAGGTACTGTTCTCTTCCAGGGCAGGGGTCGGCACAATTTTTCTGTAAAGGCCAGATAGTAAATATTTTCAGCTTTTCAGGGCATATGGTTTCTGTCGCAACTACTCGACTTTGCTGTTGTCACGTGAAACAGCCATGGACAGCACCTAACCAAATGAGCAGGGCTTGTTTTGACTACGTACAAAAACAAGGCAGTGGGCGGCTTTGGTCTCTGGGTCACGGTGGTCTGCTGCCCCTGCTCGAGGGAGCTGGGGGACTGGGAAAGAGGATATTATTGAAAGTCATTCTCATCTACCTTCTCACCTCAAGAGTTCCTGGTCTTGAGTAAGCACGCAGGCGGAGGTGTGGAGAGAATCATTAAGCATCTCTCCTAAAGAGCACTCACAGAGAATGGGCACAAAGCTTTCGGCAGGGAAGATTGTTCTGGGCTCCAATGAAGTTCTTAGTAATATTAAACTAAAATAACTGAATGTAGAACTCTTTCCCTCAACCACAACTTTTTTCCTTACAGAGAATTCTAGGATATAGGGATATATTGCCGAATACCTTAACTATGAGAATTTGTTGCATAATTAAATTACTCCCATTAGGGATGGAAAAGAGCAGGGGACTGGGAATAGAAAAGGTAGGTAAAAAGTAGCCCCAGCATTCCAGCTTTGAGAAGAGAGAGAAACAACGTACAAGTCAACATATGCTAGCTGTGGCTTTCCTGTAGGTTTTTTGGGATTTTTGAGACACTTCCATCACCCAGGCTGGAATGCAATGGCATAATCTCAGCTGACTGCAGCCTCTGCCTCCGGGGCTCAAGGGATTCTCTCGCCTCAGCCTCCTGAGCAGCTGCGACTACAGGCATGTGCCACTGAGCTTGGCGACTTTTTATGTTTTTCTGTAGAGATGGGTTTCACCACGTTGCACAGGCTGATCCTGAACTCTTGACCTCATGATCCACCCGCCTTGGCCTCCCAAAGTGCTGGGATTACAAGCGTGAGCCACTGCACCTGGCATTCCTGTAGTTTTAAAAGAGCTGGGACATAAGAGGAACTGACCTCATGTATTTTGGGATGAGGATACCACAAGCAAAGCTGAGGCAGAGGGGTGTATGCGTGTGATATACAACTAACCCTCTATGTTAGAAAGGAGGTTGGGGAAACACTTATCCATTGATGCTGCCTAAATTTCCTCAAAGCTTTTTCTACCTGTAAGTATCCAAGTTACTCTCTATGGGCCAAAGCGGAAGTCAAAAAATCAGACACTGAATAGTTTGATGAGATGAAGAAACACAGAAAATCCACCAGCCAAAAACAATCCTAACAAATTGAGAGGAATTTCGCAGTAATACACAGAAACTCTTGAGAAAGGGATAGGGGTGGGATTCTGAAAAGTTTCCAGGAAGAGATGATAAGTTAGCCACCTGGTCACTATTATACTCAATTAAGATGTATAAAATGTGATTTAACATTATAGTTAGTGTGCTATTTTAAAAATCATCTTAAAAATATTTGTAAGGTTTGGCCGGGCGCGGTGGCTCAAGCCTGTAATCCCAGCACTTTGGGAGGCCGAGACGGGCGGATCACGAGGTCAGGAGATCGAGACCATCCTGGCTAACACGGTGAAACCCCGTCTCTACTAAAAAAATACAAAAAACTAGCCGGGCGAGGTGGCGGGCGCCTGTAGTCCCAGCTACTCGGGAGGCTGAGGCAGGAGAATGGCGTAAACCCGGGAGGCGGAGCTTGCAGTGAGCTGAGATCCGGCCACTGCACTCCAGCCTGGGCGACAGAGCGAGACTCCGTCTCAAAAAAAAAAAAAAAAAAAAAAAATTTGTAAGGTTTTTTGCGGAGGCTTACCTGCAACTCGAATGCCCATCCTTAGCTCCTGTGTTTCTTGCACCTATCAAGATCTGGTCAAGGGCCCCAGAGACCCTAAGGGGAAGGGCCTGATGTGGGCTTATTTTCTGCCAATTCAGATACTCTCCTGTATCAACATATAGGTAGTAGTCTGGTATCTCATATAGATGAATGGTAATGAGATACTAGGTTTTTACTGAGAAATAACTTTTTAATTTTAATGATGAACTTTGTCATCTTCACATCTCCTTGAATTATAACTTTATGATTAAACAAAACTAGTTTTTCTCTAATTCTCAGTTGCTCTTGACAGCAAGCCAAGAACATCCAGACAGAACCAGATCTGTCTACATTAATAATACATTTACTTCCTGTATCATTATTTTAGATTCCAATAATTTTATTCTTTATTTTTTTTTTGACTCCCTCTCCCTGTCCCACATATTACACATTTTTAAATTGTTAAGTATGTATTGCAGTCGTCTCCACCGTACGCTCTTTGCTGTTCCAGAACTTTAAGTGATGTCCCGGTCAACACCACTTACGCCAGCGCTGCAGCTCTTTGGATAAACAGAGACAAATGTAAGGATCCAAGAGGCCACTTCCAATGACTGTTGCTATCTCTTGCCTCTACAGATCATTCTATTTTTGTTTTATAAGTTTAGAAATAGAGTATTAAGCACAATGAGTTTGTTTCACTTTCTTCAGTCTCTGTTCACTAATGTTAGTTATCAAACAATCCCTTTCAGACTGGTAAAACTTTAAGAAAAAGCCCTTTTCTCTGTGGGAGAAATGACTCTTGGTTTTGGGCCTCTCCATTTATGCAGGACGATCAGAAAGGCACTCCTTTCCCTCACGCATGGCCAGGTGTCTGACACAAGAGATGGCGGCGAGGCCATTCCAGCCAGCATGCAGGAGTGTGCTGCTGCCCTGTTCCTGCTGTCAGACCTACCCGCTACTCGCTAGGCACTGATTTCATCAAACACATCCCAATTAGCATCCAATTGTGATTTTTTTAAAAAAGAAGTCTAGTGTGTGAATTATGTTGGCCTTCAGAGTTCATCGTTATCTTGTACTTTTATACCTGAGGTTTTCATCTGAAAGTGGGCTTTTTTTTTTAATTGTACAAAAATACTGGTGGTTTTGTTTTGTTTTTTGAGATGCAGTTTCGCTGGTCGCCCAGGCTGGAGTGCAATGGCGTAATCTCGGCTCACTGCAACCTCTGCCTCCTGGGTTCTAGCAATTCTCCTGCCTCAGCCTCCCCAGTAGCTGGGACTACAGGCGCCCGCCATCAGGCCCAGCTCATTTTTGTATTTTTAGTAGAGACAGGGTTTCACCACGTTGGGCAAGCTGGTCTTGAACTCATGACCCCAGGTGATCTGCTGGCCTCGGCCTCCCAAAGTGCTGGGATTACAGGCATGAAGCACTGCACCCGGCCCAAAAATACTGGTTTTTGATTGTACAAAACCAGCACAAAAATTTAATTATACAAACATACTGATATTTTTGATACCCATCATGTCTTTTTAACTATAAGGATATATTTTTATAATACAATACTTTGAAAATGAAGAAAGATATCTTGAATTAAGAGAAATGAAAGTAAAGTATTTTCCTTGTGGGTAAGACTTAGTGCAAGCTGAAACTTGGAGAATGGCACTTTGGTTTTTAAGTGTTCAAAGTAGATTAACTGAGATAGCAATAAGACTTAGACACACTGGTAAGTGACAGCTGTATTCTATTCCTCCTCCTTTCTTTTGTAGTATAAAAGGGTTTGGTTTCAATGCCAAAAACGTGCTCTTAGGCACCG